TGTAACTTGCCTAAAACAAGGAGCTGCCCTTTGACATGGCAGAAAATGGTCACCTGAAGAGATGGGACACAGTGTGTGTCCTTGGCCATGGTATGTGAATGTTTATGTAGCTGCATCAGTTTGTGTGTATGGGGCTGTGGAGAGGAAAAAATGGCTGGTGGTCCTCTCCTCTGCAAGGGACTGTTTTGAAGTGGTGTGGCAGGGTTTTTTTGAGATGGGATGAAAGCAGTGGGTGGGAAGAGCTTAGAAACTGGAAACAAAATTTGGCTAAAAACACATCTTGTGCAAAAGAAGTATCTTTTTGTGTTTTTAAGAACGCCAATGAAACTCAACAGTACTTGAGAAACCTGTGATGTTAGAAAGGGAACATTTTACACTCAGAAAGGACAGGGAGAGTCAAGCGAAGCAGTGCTTCACTGTCTTTGACTTCTAGTTGTGCTGGGGGAGCAATGCTGTACAGGCTGCTTTGGTGAAAACCCTGCTCTCCCAACAGGCTCCATCCACGATCATGGGAGGGTACAGCTGGGCAGTCTGGCTTAGTACATAAAATTCCCTATGTGAAGACAAAGAAAGTAAAAGTGCATTGTAAGGACCATGCAAAATGAAATCTACTGCTAGAAAGAGAAGACGCTCTTGAGTGTGGTGTTGGGTTCTCCCTTGGCAAACTGCAGAAGTCCTGCATTGGGAGAGCAGTCTGCAGAAAGTGCAGGGTTTCGTGGGGTGCTGCTAGCAGGTGGAAGATGATCTCTGTCCCACACTAATCAGCCATGCCCTTCCCTGCAGGAAAAAAAATAGGACAGCTACATGCGTAGCCTTTTGACTGTGACCTAGCAACTGAATTGTCTTTAAAAACAAGTTAAGGAAGAGGCTTAAATCATAAACCAGATAAAGGGACCACTGTTTCTTGCCAAGGTGCTTGCCAAGTAAAATGGAACACCCTTATTTAACAAAAAAGCAAATACGAAATGAGGATGCTAACCATCTTTTAAAAATACCTTTTCTTCTCTTCGTGGGCTTTGGTTACAAGGCAGCATTTTTAAGTGTATCTAACAAGAACCTTAGCTAGAAGAGGTGATGTTTACCCTTACGAACAGACCAGAACAGAGCATTCTACATGTACTGCCATCACATGAGATCTAATAATTGGAAACTGGCAATGCTGGACAGTTTGTTCTGATGAGGAGTTCTCAGTCATGGTCAGTTAACTTTCTCACAATTGTATTTCATTTTAATTAAATAAGAGTTGCTATGTATATCATGTAAGACACTGCTCACGCTGCTGTTGGTGGTGTGATCACAGCAGGAGCAGTGTGCCTCAGCTGGTCTTTGCCTTGAGCACAGCTGCTCTGCCGGGGCTGTGGGCTCGGCACCAGGCTCTGCAGACCAGCTGGGACGGGAGCAGCTGGGCAGTCCCTGCTGCTGCATCTGCTGCTGCATCTTCTCGGCCCCAGGCTGCAGGATAGCCTGGATCTGCAGCAAGGAGTCTGCTGCCTACAGCCAAATCTCTATGCCTTGATTTACTTTGTTTTCCTGTCAACTATTGCTTTTTCTGGGCTGTAGAAGCTCTTAGAAGCATGGCTGGTACTTGCCTTTAAAGCCTTGCTAAGTTCTCACTTTGGTCTGGCTTATTGCCTGGCAGCATGAGTTTGCAAACAGGTTTTTAATGCTTTTTTTTTTTTACGGGAGGAGAGGTTTCCTCCTGGAGAGCTTTTCTTCCATATGGAACTAATGTTGCTCTGGAGTTATTTTTGCTATTTTTTCTGTCCCCTTCTAAACTCTGAGATAGTCAGAGGTAGCAAGATTTCCCATGTGTGGACTTTCATCCCCTGCTCCACAGGCGTGTATACTGCAAAACAGAGAATTGTACTTAGGGTCCTGAGGAATTCAGTGACATGCTGTGGTGCAGATTATTTCTGGGTATCGACAGAGGGGAAAAGCATCCTTGAACTAAATCTGCTCTCACAAGTCTTCTTTCCTTTATTTATATTCACGTTGCTTTTCTGTTGCTGAGATTTGGAAGTGCCTGTCAAACCTTCAGTGAGGTTTTACACATAATTAAACAGTAAACTATCCTCCTTCTTCCAAAGATGCAATCCTGAGCAACAGCAGCCCTGAACTAATTCGTTCCTTATTCTTTGAATTATTTCAGGGCTTACAAAATCCTTCAAACTCTTGTTTGTTGTTCTGCAACCGTTTGCGTCAGGCTTGAGCTGAACAACCTGGGAAGTAATGCTGTGGGGTATTTAGTAACAAGTAAATAATCCAGATCACTGCTGGCACGCAGTGCTCTCGGCGTTCCATTCCCGTGTCTCTATATTTAAAATGGTTATCTGCTTACTTCGAGTGCTATTTGAGAACTCCTTAAAATATTGACTGTTGAAAAGTTCAATGACTTCTTTCGACTGAGAATTAGTATCGCTGATAAGGTGATTTGCATGCACCAGACCATGGGCAGAGGCAGCTCTGCCCTGGTAGCCCGTGGGGACACGGTGATAGCCGGGTACGGCCGCACTCTGCAAATAGCTGTGTCGATAGCTGGCAGCAGTCACGTAATGTCGTTGGCTTTTCTCTGGAATCTGTCTGTTGCATCCTGACTGCAGAGCAGCCCTTCTATAGTGAACACTGATAATAAAATTCCTCTCGTAATCTATGTGCCGGTCTGCTGCAGCCAAAATTACTTTTAACCTTTATGTCACCCAGCCTGGCTGTTGTTATGTGTGGTGCGAAATACAAATGTGTCCTTTTTGCAGGTGGCTGCGAGACAGGGAACTTATGGCTTGTCCAGCTTCAGAGCCAGCAGTGCCATTGCCTTTCACAACCCGCTTACCCTCCCTGGCTTCGGTTCCCTTGTTGACAAAACAGAGCTGCTGGGCTGCCGTTGCCCGCAGGACTGCAGGCGAGGGGGCTGCGCTCCTGCTCCGGCTCGTGCATCCTGCACTGCCGCGGGACCAGGGGTCCCCTGCTGTCCCCTGGGATGGAGGGCTGCTGAGTAAGAGCACAGCTATACGGAACAGGACATGGGGAAGGACTTCTGCATTAGTGAGGGACTTGGGTTAATCTACCCTTACTGATAATAACACTCCATCGGTGTTCCTAGGATAGGGAGTCATTGCTAAATTGGTGGCTGATGGTTTGTTGGATTTTTTTTCAGTTTTAACATTTGTTTCCTAATTGGTAGAAGGCTGATACTTTTTGTCCTAATTTGGTATAGTTCCACATTTCTTACGTCTTCACTCGCACTTTTAATTTTTCCAAATTTCTTGTAACTTCTTACAGGTTTAGGCTTATATTCTTCTAGTAATCGTTCGTGGCTGAGTATAGCCCAAGGTGTGCAGGTGAGCTGCCTGCTTGGTTAAAGATTACTGGCCACTCTCAGAAGAGATGTGAGGCCTAATAAAATACAGGCTTTCCTTTATACCCGAATTTTGCCATGTTCCTCAAGCCATACCCCAAGGCCCTCATGCTGTCCAGTGTGGAAGCTACTTTGCCACACTGATCCCACTGTGGCTGGTGCAAGGTAAGTATAAACCTAATCGTTTCTCTGTGTCATCATCTCCACAGCATCTTCCCAAAAAGGTGTCTCCACACCACGAGTGTAGCCAGGGTAGAGTTTTGCTTTACAAGATGGTTGATCCTTAGACACGCTGTCCGTTTATGTCAGGCTCCAGCTATGGGTCCTCCAAACCTGGATTCTGGCAATAAAAGGATGTTTTCTCATTCTTGTTCTTGGAGCTGCTGTTCAGACTGGATTAGAGCTTCCATCTTCAGTGGTAGAAGGCTGTAGAGAAACGTTTCCGTTTAATGTCTGTCTTGAATTTTATCATTTTTAATCGTTTAAAGCCATAGACCTGAATAGCTGACTGACAGATTTATTGTGACTTCTGTGTTTGTTTGGATGTAGGTTTTAACAGCATAGCTCTTGAAATAGCTGGAAAGCTAGCAGAGACATTTTGAAAGCCTATGATTAAGAAAGCAGATGGGTTTGGGGTTTATTTTGCGTTATGTCTGCCTCAGGTTTTTTTCTGCTAATGCTACAGAGTCTCTTAGCAAATGTGATGTTGACACATACTGAAAAATTAAGTTACTTCTACATACTAAATTGTTTTTTGGACCCTTATGCATGATATTTCCCTGGTTTTACTTGAATCTTTATTTTCTTTTTACTTGCTTTATGCAGAGAGACCCTCAACTCTTTGAGTCGCTCAATTTTACATCACACCTAGCCCTGGGAAGCAGCAAGGTGCCAGCCTATACAGCTGTT